AGAAGACAAGAGAATATTATTAACAGCCCCAATTCCCACAACCGTTCATCGTATGTTTTAGCCTCCAGTCCCCTAATCATCTTTGTTGCTCTTCTCTGCACACTTTCTAGAGTCTCCACATCTTTTGTACATCGTGGTGACCAAAGCTAGATGCAGTATTCCGAGTGGGGCCTTACCAAGGCCTTATAAATAGCTATTGGGGCTGTTAATAATATTCTCTTGTCTTCTCTGCAGGACTTTTGAGGCCGCTGTGGCTGCCGCGGGAGTCGACTTCCGTTCGGACAAGCTCTGGGAGATGTATGTGGAATGGCAGAAGGAGCAGGGAGACCTGAGATCCGTCACCGGCATTTATGACAGGGTGCTGTCCACTCCCACCCAGCTGTACAGCCATCATTGGGAAAAGTAAGTGTGCGACTTGGAGGGTGTTTGAGTTGTGGGGGCCATCCCTGTCTCCGGGTTTTGTAGTGGGGTTCTCCAGCCCAGCCTTTGGCAGAGATCCTACAGGTAGACTTAACAACGTTCAATCAGCGGCTGTTCGAAGTTGCAACAACACTGAAAGAGCTGACTTACACATTCACGGATCTTACACGTACAATTGTTGCCATTTCCCCACATCCATAGGATCGAAATTTGGACGCTTGGCAACTGGCACAAGAAACCAGGAAGAAATCCAGGTAGTTCAAATGAGTACAAGTTTGTTTCATGTTATTTCTTATTTGCCATGTTGGCGCAGTGGTTACTGTCCTTCAAAGGCCAGTAAAGTGAGAACCCAGATTGTTGGATGCAAGGTGCTCAGAGAGGGCTGTAAAAGCACTGTGAAGCAGTATATAAGTCTAAGTCCTTCCTTCCATCCATCCATCCATAGTGGTTAGAATGCAGTATTGCAGACTAATTCTGCCATCTGCCAACAGTTTGATCCTGACCAGGTCAAGTTTGACTCAGCCTTCCGTCCTTCTGAGGTGGGTAAAATGAGGACCCAGATTGTTGGGGGCAAAAGGCTGACTCTGTAAATCGCTCAAAGCGGACTGTAAAACACCGTATTTTTCGGAGTATAAGACGCTCTGAAGTATAAGGCGCTTTTCGGGCGGAAAAGCGCTTGGCCTTATTTTCGGGGAGGTCTTATTGTATTTGAGGTGCAGGAGACAGTGAGCGTGGTCACCTCATGGCTGCTGCTGTGTTGCAATATTTTCAGCTTATTTTAGCGCATGTGCTCAAAAGCCCGATGGGGCTTATTATCCAAGGAGGTCTTATTTTCTGGGAAACCGGGTAGTTGACTGAGTTTCATGTTTAATGAATAAAGTACCATATTTTTCGTATAAGATGCACCTAGGCGGAAAACAAGGGGGGAAATCTGCCTCCTTGCAACAAATAGCAAACAGCACAGATGATATATACTGTTTGTGGTGTATTTCTGTGCATGTGTGCCTGACATATAGAAATAGCAAAGAATTGGAGAAATGTACATTATGGCAGTATATTAATGCCAGAAAGTTTTCTTAAATGTAGTCATACTAACTCCTCCCAATTATTTAAATCAGTGTTTCTCAACCTTGGCAACTTGAAGATGTCCCGACTTCAACTCCCAGAATT